TGACCCTCCCCCCCCAATTTATTTTTTTTCTTCCCGGGCCCAAAGGGGGGGCACTTTTGTTGGGGGAAATCCCCCCACCTTTTTGGGGGAAAAGGGAGGGGCCCGAAAAGGGGGAAAAAAAAAACCAAAGGGTTTCGTTTGTTGCGGGGGGGAACCAAAAAACAGGGGAAAACTTTTTTGGCCCCCCTTGGGGAAACCGGGAAGGAAGGTTTGCCCTTTTGTGTTGGTTCTTTGGGGGAAAATTTTCCCCCCTTTGGGGGCAAAAAGGTTTCAAAAACGGGAAAAAGGGGTCCCCCCCCCCCCCCCCCCCCCCTCCTACAGGTTCCACTACCGTTCCCGTGCTGCACCAGCCGGCAGATGGTGTACCGGAGAGTGGTGACGCTCCTGTCGCCGATAGAGTGCTCGATCGACGACATTGGTTCTCGGATCGTGACGATGAGGGAGGAGATGCAGGCCGGGATTGATCGCGCGAGCGACACGAGGGGCCTCACCAGGCTCGTCCAGGGGAGCGTGTTGCCGCAGGTGTGTTGACTCTCGGGCTGCTGCTGTTGTTGTTGGTGCTGCTGCTGCTGCTGCTGCTGCTGCTTTTCCTGCTGTGGTATGATTGTTGTTGTTGTTACAATTGGAGCGGTTCAGCTGGGCTTGAATCGAATCCCTCGCGAATTATTGCAATTCAAGTACACGTGCACTGCTGCTGCTGCGATAGCGGGGGTGTGGACGATGCTTCATCCGATGTGCGATCATACAGTACTAGTTTTCTAACCCTTAGTCCTGGACGCCCTCCGGTCCCAGACCGTTTTTCAACGTCAACGTACCCTACATCAGAGTTGGTGACCTCGTGAGTGAGATGAATTTTAAGACAAGAATGACCATACAAAAAAAAAAACAACGGCCAGGCTTCGCTGCTCACAGCGGTGGTGACAGCAGTCAGTTCATTCAAGAACATTTCCTTCCTTTCTTCCTACTGCGATGCCTAAACTATTCCATCGCGGTCACATGAAAACCCGGCAGGTCAACGGCGGCGCGGTAGAGGTAGCGGAAACCTTCCTGAAGGCGTTACCCGCGGAAGAGGGTAACGCCCTCCCGCCTACAACTCCCTCGGCAGTGGTCGTCGACGACGGTAGCAGCGGGGGGGGCCGCCGC